GAAATTGTTTTTATAATTCGTTATTCTCTCTATTTGTTTTTATAGTTCAAAACTTACAGTCCCGAATTTACACAAATCGAAATATGGTTCCGTTTCATATTTCTCCTCTTCACTTTCATCGTAATCGTAAGTTAAAATTAAAGCTAGAACATTTATTTAATTTAAAAGTATTCACTTATCTGGCTTTTAACGTCCATAGTGCTGGTATGCTCACACTCTGCGCAAGTATCCTATCTACGATTGGTCAATCGAACAGAAATGGATGTCATTACTGCTGCCGCTGCTCCTGTTATACGATAGTAAGTTGCATGCATTATTAATCACATAATGTTAAAATAATTAATACCAACCATTTCTTTTCACAGACCCCTTCTTTCCATTGATTTTCCTAATGAACTCTTGGTTTCCCGGCATGTTAGATGCTGTGCTGCAGGCCACATTCCTATGTTCGTTGCTGATGTTCTGGCTTTGTATATATCACGGTTTGCGTCAAAACGAAAGACGTTTTATGCGTTTCTACCTGCCAAAGATCATCGTTATACTACCAATATGGTTGTGTGCTATTGTCTTAGCTACATGGGAGAAATGCAATGAACTGCGCGATCCCACCTACAGCCACTTTGTGGACACGCGAAATTACAATGTTTGTTTGCATGTTTACTATATTTAAATGCAATGTTCATTGTACTTACATATTTATGTTTCAGGGTTTCAAGTTGTTCTTCTACATTGCTGGCTGTATGTACATACTATATCTAGCCTTATTAGTCTTACGCGCTTATACTGAGCTCAGATCGATGCCTTACTTTGGTAAATGTGTTTGGCTATCATGTACCGTAAAAAGTTTTATATTTTTCCCCCTTATCTTAATACTAGATATGCGTTTGAAATTCTTGACGCTTTTAATGCTCTTCGTCATCTCCATAACTATAATAGTCACAACACGTCGCTTTGGCTTCGGCATATTAGAGGACAATTTCGTGGCCACACTCAATACCACCTATCATAGCTCGGCGCAGTTTATGTGTTTCTATGGTCTTCTGAATTTTTATCTATTTACCATGGCATATGTATACTCCCCAAATGGACGATTTTCTCAAGGTGAGCTAGCTAGTCGAAACGGGCTGAAGAATATATGAAAATCCTTCAATTTTTCCAGAGATCTCTGTTACCAAAGATAATCCCGCATTTTCGATGATAAACGACTCTGATGAAGAAGTTGTATATGGCTCCGAGGACGAGTCACGTCGTCCTCTCACTGTTGGTAACAAAAATGATTATGACAGCGATTAAAACAGCATATTTTCTTAATTTGCTATATTTACTACATATATAAAACTAGACAGTCTTAGCAAACAATAATTTATTGGTAGTCAAAGATATAAGAATAACTTCGATTTTATATACCGTTAGTATCTTTAACTTTTTTCGTATCAGTTGTTTGCTATGCACAAAATAATATTTTTTCATATCTATCATTTAACTACTTTTGTAGTATGTTTAATTTCCAATTAGTTAGTCTTTTCAGCTAGGCGTTAAAATTTGAATTTCGTATATGAACTATCTCCCTCCCCCCTTTTACTTTGTATTTTCCAATTAAAATTTAACTGTATTTTTAAACTCGCTACAACAAGAGTATTCGAAATAGCCCTTTAGTTCGCTTTCAAATGCACACTCATAAAAAATCGAAACCAATGCAATTTTTCTTATCTTTAAATAAGTCTGTTTTATTCATATGTATATATATATATATGTACGTTTACATATCGATGGTCCTCTGCAATAACGACACAATTCAAAATTCAAAAATTAAAAACTTGTTACTGTTAAGCTGCTAACGTCTCTAATCCCCTTGTCTTATCCTTACTAATTACAGCAGCAATCGGAAAAGGATTAGGGAGAGTTTTTTATTTTTTCAATTTTGAATTGTGTCGTTATTGCAGAGAACCATCGTATACATATGTAAGTATGCATGTTCTTGCAGTATTTAATTTACTTTTATTATTCTACCTTTTTTTCTTTGTTTGATTGTTTTGTCTACATACTTCTTTAATTTGAACTTTATCTTCTCCGTAAGAAGATATATTTAAACAAACCATTTTTATTAGTTTTAATAACATCTGAACTCTAATATGTACTATAATTAGCATTCACATTTTATTAACTGTGGGATAAGTTGTATAATAGTTCATTTCCACCAAACCTAACTGCAATTTAAGCCTATTGAAAAATGGAAGTTACAACTTGAAGGGGATATATCGATGGATGAGTGGAAGATCGACCTATGTTGTTGTTGTCGGAAGCCAGAAGTATCTCGGAAGCCAGTTCAAAAACACCCTGTCTCAGAAAATTTTTCAAGANCTTTGATTGTTTTGTCTACATACTTCTTTAATTCGAACTTTATCTTCTCCGTAAGAAGATATATTTTAACAAACCATTTTTATTAGTTTTAATAACATCTGAACTCTAATATGTACTATAATTAGCATTCACATTTTATTAACTGTGGGACAAGTTGTATAATAGTTCATTTCCACCAAACCTAACTGCAATGTAAGCCTATTGAAAAATGGAAATTACAACTTGAAGGGGATATATCGATGGATGAGTGGAAGATCGACCTATCTCGGAAGCCAGTTCAAAAACACCCTGTCTCAGAAAATTTTTCAAGAACGCCCTACTTCAAAGTTTGATTGAAAAACGCCCTATTTCAGAATTTGGTTGAATAACGCCCTATTTCAGAATTCATAACAAAAACGCCCTATCTCAAACGAAAATACATTGAAAATAAGCTGAGATAGGGCGTTTTTGAATCGGCAGCTGAGATCGGGCGTTTTTCAATGAAATTCTGAAGTAGGGCGTTCTTGAAAAGTTTTCTGAGATAGAGCGTTTTCGAACTGGTTGCCGAGATAGGTCGATCTTCCTCTCAGACATCGATATGCTCATGTCAAGTACAAGCAAACGAAAGTAAAAAGGCAAAATGTAAGCAATAAACCCTGCCGATCACTCCATGGGAAAATTATTGCAACTTATTTGACCTCTTAACTGCAGTTAAGCTNAATAGGTCGATCTTCCTCTCAGCCATCGATATGCTCATGTCAAGTACAAGCAAACGAAAGTAAAAAGGCAAAAAGTAAGCAATAAACTCTGCCGATCACCCCATGGGAAAATTATTGCAACTTATTTGACCTCTTAACTGCAGTTAAGCTTTTGATTAAATAGGCCATAAAATAACAGGACATACACTACTATATATTCAGAAATTGTTTATTATAATGTTCAATAGAGAGATTAGGGCTGTTCAGCATCTTGTGCATATGCTCTTGAATTTGCATATTCGTTGCATTTGTAAATTCATAACAATAAAATGCACACGGGTGCCATTGCAGCCAGCATAAACTTTGCAAATGCAATTCCAACTGCAAATCCCAGACCATTTCCACAACATCCTGAACAGCCCTATTATGTAATGAAGCATTCAAAAAGTAAAATACTATACTTTACTGCAACTACAAACAAAAAATACGATGCAAAATTAAGTTATTAATAAAAAAACATCTACAAGCAGATATATAACCTAGTTTTCTTAGAGAGACAACCAACCTTATCACAATGGAAGGAGGGCCTGAATTCCAAGTAGACTATCTTGGCGGTGTTTGTGGACCTTAAGAGAGCCTTCGAGACAGCAGTAGATATTGGTGTACCACAAGGGTCGGTGCTAGCTCCAATACTCTTTAATATTTATATCACCGACATAAACTCAGTATTGAAATATTGTAAGGTAAAATTGTTCGCTGACGATGCCGTTTTAACCCTCACTGACAGTAATCTACCCAAGGCAATGAACAAAATGCAAGAAGACCTTCATTGTTTGTGGTTGTGCGTAAACAGACTCCAATTAAATGTGAACAAGACAAAGTTTATGGTCATAGCATAAAAATTAAAGATGACGTAATTGAGAAAGTGAGAATTATTAAATATCTAGGTATCGATGAAAAGTTAAAATTTGAGGAACATATTGACTACACGGTAGCAAAGATTGCGAAAAATTGGTCTCATGAACAGATCATGTAAGTACTTAGGAAGGAGGTATAAAACTCTGGTCTACAGATCTATAGTTGAACCACATTTCATATACTGTCCAACAGTCTTTTTTATAGTAACATCAGCCATACAGGAAATGATCGCAGAATTAAACTGGCTGATTCTGAAACAGCAAATGTTTTATCACGCTATGAAATTCGTGTTTAACGTTAAAAAAGGTAGACTTCCAGATTAGCTGAGTGATATACTACGATATAATAGCTCTGATCCAATACTTTTGGTGTAAAATCCTGTAAAAATGTCAAACAGCAAAACTGTTATCTGAAGTGAGAGTAAAAAGAGAGAAACAACAAAAAGTACGGGAACAAAAAAAAAAAAGAAAAAACGTCAACCAGTGGCCGCTTAATCTCTGCACAACTCTTCAACAATCGCTCTCACTTACAGGATTTTGGAGGATTTAGGAACACGGGATTTTTTTTCCTGAAACTTTCTGCAAGTTCGTGTAAAAACCTGTAAGTTCATCGAGTACTGGATCGGAGCTATTAGTGAAACCCATTCATATTTACTCAGGGAAAATAAAAGCTTCAGGATGCCGCTGTATAAAACGGAAATAGATAAGAACATCTTTTATAAGGGATTAAAATGTTACAATGAGCTTCCAGCTCAAATAAAAAATTGTGAAAACGTTGGTACCTTCGAAAGGCTGCTACTTGATCACTGTAGAACATTGGCTATTAGATAAAAAGTTCCGGCGTGGAAACTAGTCCTTTGCATCCGTAATAGCTGAATGACTCTGGATCTCGTCCATTCAGATCACCCATAATGAATGAAATAGAAAGGTCGGCATGGCAACTAGTCCTTTTCGTCGGATCAAATAGCGCGACTCTGGATCTCGTCCATCAGATCACCTGCCGGTAGAGAAGTCTATAAAAGGCGGCTTGGAAACTAGTCCTTTCCAACCGCCCAGTTGTGGCGGCTCTGGATATAACACTCTTAGTCCTACGTGATATATTTACGGTACTGCTTAGAATCACGTCCATTCCAACAGCAACGAGAATATGCTATCTTAGTTAATTATACATAAACTATTTTATAGCTTAGAAGGAAAGGCGTAACAGGTTAACTTATTTTAAACTTTAATTTTAATTTTACTTTTATTATATATTAATTTTGAAATACTTATTTCAAATGTATATACGTGATTATATGAATATATGTAGGTCAAATGACCGTAATAAATAAATAAATGTTAGCAAAACCTAACTTAAAAATTCTATTAAACGGATGTTGCTAATATTTGGACAGCCGAAATTTAACGCAAGGAAGCGTGCAGCTTCTGTGGGGTTTGTCCACAGGGACAAGGCCGTTAGGGTTGTCGGCTTTTCCGGGCATGCGAAGAGATGTTTCGAGTCATGTGGGGTCTCTCCGCATGCCGGACACTCATTCGGCACATCCTCATTCAACCTACTCAGGTAGGAGTTTAACCAGCTGCAGTAGCCGGAGCGAAGTTGTGCAAGTCTTGTGCGAGTCTCCCGAGGCCTAGAACGGCATTCACAGGTCTAGAGTCTACATAACTCGAGACTGAGTCCCTGTGAATGCCGTTCAGGGCCTGTC